CTTTTGAAAAGAGACAAACCTTTTCCCAAATATCCACTGAAAAAAAGATACAGTCAAGGAGACAATTGGGTCAGTATACAACCACTCAAATACGAAAAAAATACCCCACAGAAAGGGGGGGATTAGGACACAGCTGTCACAAAGTCACTTCCCACCATTTTTATATATTTAGGATGTTACTGTATAGAAAATCTAGATATAATACCTTCAATTTACTACTAAAGCACCATAAACAGGAAAAATGTCAAGTCCTGTGGGATTCTTTGTAAGACTGTGCATTGTAGAACTTGGGAATGAGAAAAATGGAAAAATCCCCAAACCATCCTGGCTACATGTTGAAGTGACAGGCTTTATAATTAAACCAATGTTCCAAGATGGAGGAAGCAGTCAGTCTAAGGTGCATTGGCAGTACCTGATTTTGCTTAAGGATATGGAGAGTCAATTGTTTTTTTTTATCTTGGTAGATCAAGAAATGCTGGTCATGCCGCAGATCTTCCATTGACCACCACTGAAGCACAGGGTTTCTGCTTCAGCTAGAAGGTAGAAGCACCCAGAAACAGAGAGTATGTGCCAAACTGTAAGTATAGTCCCTTTTTCCTTGCACATTTTCAGAGTCCCTAACTTTTACAGGAGCCAAGACTTTCCATGTCTGGCTTCATTTTTATGAGGCAAATTAACTTTCCTGATCTTAGGAGTAATTATTCAATATACATTATAGTAGGAATGGAGTTACAAGGAGGCAGATGCTGTCATAACTAGAGACGGGAGAGTCGTATTTGCATACAAATAGGAAGTCCACCAGCACAGGTAGCCAGCCTGATGAACACCTGCCACCAGAACCCACTGGACTACTTATCGCATGGCATGTGTTTTGCGTGGCCAACATCATATTCTGCACCCCAACTGTGGCAGTAGTCCGGCTGCTGTAGCCCTGCCTCCCCCAGGCAGGAGAAGTCTCCCTGATCAGCCGCGGAGTGGCTAGGCAAGCAGGGAGGCAGGGCTGCAGCTGCAATTAGAGCATGGAGGATGATGCTGGCCATATGCACCATGTGCCTTGTGGCAAGTGGTCCAGTGGGTTCTGGTGGTGAATTTTCATCAGGTCAGCCACCTGATGAAAATCAGTCTAGTTATGACAGCATCAGCCTTTTTGTAGCTCCATTTAATTGCTCCTAATTTGGGGCCTCAATACCTGTCAGAGTGCCTCTCCTTCAGAACATCAGCTCATGCCACCCGTTCTTCACAGACCTCTGGGTTGCCACACCAAGAAAGGTGAAGAAAACAGTTACCAGGAATGGTGACTTCTCAGCTGTGGCTCCCACCTTAGGGAATGGGCTCCTGGTGGAAGTTTATCAGGCTTCTTCCCTCCCTTCATTTAAAAGGATGCTTGAGACTCTACTGTTCCAGTAAGCTTCTAAGGGGATCCTTCCATGAGTTATTTTTGCAGGCTTTCCCGTAGTCCCTCATCACTTGGGGTTTATTTGGTTATTATATTTGTATTTGTTGATGTTTTGGATTGTTGCTTTTATGAGTAGACCACTTAGTGTAGGGTTGTACGCTAAGTCAGCAGTATAGAAATGAATGAATGAATGAATGAATAGTACTAATACTTCAATGGAATGGATGAATCTTTGCATTTTGTTGTCGTTGAATGCCTTATTGATCTCCAAGAAATAAAGCACTTGATATACAACCTAGGGATGAGAAACTCTTTTTGTGACCCACAGAGAGCATCTGTTGTCTGTGCTCTCAGATGGGTAGTAGCAGAATGCTAAACATCCACAAGCTATCTGATGTTTCAGATAGAAGCAGAGGTAAATAAAGCTGTTGTTGTGTAAAAGCGTTTGTAGATGAGAAATCCTGTCAGTTTAAATTGGCAATGCTAGCTTTTTTTTTTGAAGGAAAGAAAAAACTTTGCTTTTATATGTATTTCACAACAGATACTATTTAAAATAAGATTTTTCCTTTAGCATGTGAAACATACAATTCCTAAAATGGTACCTACCCCTTGTAGTTATTAGAAGCAGTTATTTTGAAATAGTTGCATTTAAAAACAACACTTCTGTTTCATTAGTCAGGAATATATTTTTAAATTAAAGAAGCAATGAGTTACAATCAGTTTACCTTCTTGCAATGGGACTAGTTTGCAGGAGAGGCAGAAAATATTCCACAATGCACATAATGCAAGCTCTTTTTTTAAAAAAATCCTAGGGCAAAGTAAGGCATCTACTGCTCTGTATGAGTAGAGCTGAGGACCCTTGCTCTGACCTCACCCTCTCTGCTTCCAGTTCTCCCATGATTTTGGAAAAGGTCTAAAAAGGAGTTGTAATCAGACCGTAGTGAATTTGGTTACAGAACTCCATAGCCAGATGTTCTGTCACATCAAGGTTTCATGTTATGTGTAATTGCATTCAGCCATTGCACCATTTCAACTTTTGGCACATTACCAGACTGTCTTCATCTACATGGGAAGGTTTGAAGTAGGGGAACAGGATTAGAATGTATCCCTCCCCTTTAGATGTGTAATACAATGAATGTCAGAATAGGGCTAGAATTACCCAATGAACGAACTCAGTAAGAGAACATGGAACAGAGGAGTGAGCAAAGTATGCAAGGCCCTCCTGAGGTTTCTGGACTGCAGCTCTCTGCATTCTCCGCTGCTGGTTGTGCTGGTTAAGGCTGGAGGAAACTGTAGTCCAATGACATCTGATGCGCTGCCTAGAATCACATATAGCCCTTGACAAAATTTGCAAAGCTTTACACTGGACCCTTCCTTAGCTAGGTAAGGAAGAAGCAGAGTGAAGGAAAGCCGAGAGAGAAAAGACACATTGAGAAGCTTCGTTAGGAGTCGGATTTCCCACCGTGCCACCTGCAAGCAGAGCCGGCCTGTGTTGGCCTTGGGAAAGGTAGACGTAGCGAGTATTCTCTACTGGAAAACTTTGAAAGGGGTTACCATAAGTCAGAATTGACTGGGTGGCACATTATTATTACTACTATTGATTATTTATAGTACTCTTCTGATTTATAACTCCTGAAAGGCTCAACTAAACTGAAGTTTTGGTCCATTTTGCTAGCTGATGGTGGAGGAGGACAGCTCAGTCTTCTTGGCCTCGTCCTGAGGTACGGTATAAGGTTACCCACCCAGGCCCTGGCATAGACGGCTTGGTCCAAGTGCTGCCCTTCAGTCTTGTTAAGAGGAGAAAGACAGCAGAGACGATGTTTCCTGCAGAGTTCAAAATGGTCCTTAACATGGAGCTTCAAAATATTCCTAGAATACCCAGCGTCACCAGTCAGTGTGCAAGCCTTTAGAATCTCTACTTTTTTGGGAAGTACTGTATTTTAGTGGGCTGCACTTCATCCTGAGTTCAAACCCATAGTAGTTTCTTTTGGGGAGTTACTACATGCCCTTCTGTGATCTATCCTCTCTTACCTCCATGTTTCTGTCAGAGGTACATAAAATAAGGATGAAGAGTTAAGGGTGTCATCTCATAAACCCTTGCCTGAACTTTCAAGTCCCCTTGTACCAGGTAGGGCTGAGGGAGCAATAATAAACGTGCACTGGATAACACTGAGAACTCGCCCTTCTTGCACGGCTAGGAAAGGCCAGAAAGGCAAAGACTACGAAGCACTTCACACGCGGAGAGACACCTGAGAGCCGCTCTCGCACTGCAAGCTCGGACCCACATCCTTGGTTGAAACGCATTCCTGCTTCAACAGACACCAAACAAGATTGCCTGACCATTCGCCGGCGCCACCGTTGGGCAGGTAAGGAGAATGACCGACATGCAGCCGGCTTATTCCGAACAGCTGCGCTCTTCAAGGTAACGCAGCCCACCTTCCGCATCCGCCACCCTCCTCCTCCTCCTCTCGAACTTTTCATGCGCTGCTGGAGGCGAACCACATTCCACCACAAAAACCAATTCATTTATTTATTATATTTTAACTCTTTGCTTAAACCTGCCTCCCGCGTTTATTTGCTCACCCTCCCTAATTGAGCCCAGCCGGGCGTCCCCCCCCTCTGGAAGGGGGCCAAGGGGCGCTGCCCTCCGCGCGCCACGAGAGGCGGGAGAAGCTCCGCGGCGAACTGGCCCGCCCGCGCCCTTCTTCACGCGCCCTCTTGCCCTCGGGGTGCGTGTGCATGCGTAGGTGCGCGCGCACAGCCCCGCGACCGGCTCGCGCCTCTCCCTCTTGCAAGGAGTTGAGGCGTCCTCCCGGCGGCGGCTGCTGCTGCTCCCGGCGGCGGCTGCTGCTGCACGGTCTCGGTTGTTACCAAATTGAGGGAGGCGGGCCTTCGCCTCTGTGCGTGACGTGAGGCGAACTTAATTCAAGCCTGCAGTGGAAAGCAGCGCCGTCCCCGGGCGGCTTCGGGTCGGAGCCGGTGCCTCCTGGGCGGCTGAACTAAGCGGTCGCCCCGCCGCCGTTTCGCCCCTCTGACTGACCTCCCTGTCCTTTCTCAACCCTCTCCCCGGTTGTCCTTTCGTTCGGAGGAGGCTTAAGACTACCTCAGGGGGTTGGTGTGTGGGTGGGTGGCAGGCACAGGAGAGGGAAATGCGCCATGCCAGCTCCTTTGGCAACCTGATCTCCCCTTGGGTTGCCGCCAGAGAGCTTCCCGTGCCGCTTCTCCTCCTTGCCGTGGCGTTGCCTACTTGCTGAAGGAGGAGCCCTCGCGTGGAGAGGTCGGGTGGCTGCTTCCTCCACCCCTCCTCCTCCTCCTCCTCCTTCTTTTTAGCCTTTAATTTTTCTCCTGAGCCGCTTCCTGGGCTGGGCTCGCGCCCCTTTGACTTGTTCTGTTTCTTGGCGCTGTGTGTGTGTGTGTGTGTGTGTGTGTGTGTGTGTGCTTTCAACCTCCCCCTCTCCAATACAAAACCCCTGGCGCAGGTG